GTCACGCGCGCGCGCGCGCGCGCACACACACACACACACACACACACACACACACACACACACACACACACACACACACGTGCGCACATGGGCAAAGATATACCATATGTGAGCCGCCGTTGTACGGCCAGCGTGCGTGGGTGGACGGAGGGCATCGCCGTGTGCGTGTACGCGTGTGCGCGCGTGGAGAGAAGGCATATGGTCAGCAGGTGAGACCTTCGCTTTGTATTCCAAGTGTATAAAGTAGCCCACTTCGAGTGGCTCGACGTTACTCACGGACGTAACTCACGGTAAAAGGGGCCGGGGGAGGGCGGGAGGGAGGAATATAAAAAAAAAAAAGAAAAGGAGAAGAAGGAAGGGTTGCCGCGTCGGCTCCTCCTGAAATGCTAACGAATCCCTTCGAGCATCAGCATCAGAAGGAGAGATCTGCCGGCGCGGCGAAGTCCGTACCGAGCCCGTCGTCCGTCGCGATTCGAATAGCGGAAAAACAGGGTCGTGCATTTTTCAAGCGAGAATCCCGCGGCGAGAGGAGACTCCCGGGCGCAACTGTGTCAAAGATGACTCGCTAAAACAAAACAGATACGAAATAAGAGGTGGAACAGTCCCTTATCGCGCGTTAATAAATCAGAGACTGAAAATAGTCGCTGTCCTTCCTCGCGGGCGCTTAGATCTTGCTGCATTAAAGAAGAAACATGGATAGAGCGATCCGAGAGTTAATAAAAAAGAGCGGACGGGGAGGCGGACGCAAAAATATGAATATCGCAAAGGGGGTAAGAAAGAAGAGCGAGTGGGAGAAGTAGAATCGAAACGAGAGTTGTTTCTACGGAAATACAGTGGGTGTCATTTGATATATTTTTCCATTATTAAGGACATTAAGCCGGGCGGCCTGCGGGCCGACTCTCTTCTTTCCGTTCTCCTCTTCCTCTTTCCATTTCTCTTTGCAGTCCCCGTCATGACCGCGACTTCTCTCTTTCTCTCTTTTTTTTCCCGCGGCTGGCGACGGCGATAAATCAGAAAAAAAGATTCAAACCGCCAGTATGGTCGGGCGTCGGGACGCAATTTTCCGTCTGCCAGGAGATAAAAATTTGATTAATGACTACGTACTTTTGAAATTTAAGAAATGCGCGGCATTCTCGCCGAACTCTGACGAAAAACTTTCGGAGAATAATAGCCAACATTGTTCGTATGTCGATGCCATTGAAATGACAATCTTATTTTAGCCCCGAGAATTAAAAAAATAATTGCATCGTCTCTGCACTTAAAAAATAATTTAGTTTATATTAACGCAATTTGAAATTGAAGAATGTTTATCGGAATCGTCTAAACTTTCAATGCATATTTTATTCTTATACTGTGTTGCAATTTAAATGCGAGTATGCGAAGAAATCGATAATTCATCATATCGGCATGCAAAGACAGTCATCTCATCAGTAAAAACGTCTTACGCCTAAAATTTAAAGAAATCTCGATGGGCCACTCGAGACAGTCGTTAAAAATTCGCGACGTGATTCCGCCTTGGCGTCAAACCATTTTTTTCACGAACCCTTCCGTCATTCCCGACTCTGGTTAATCATCGTGAAAGTCCGTTCACGAGGGGCAAAGAATTCGAAAAGGGAAAACCCGTGTTGGCAAGCAATTACGGATAACTTTAAAATATCAAACAAGCAGATTAAAATCACATAATACAAACATGCAAAAATATACTCATTTATATAATAGATGTATTCTTGCTAGCTTTAGACATATATATTTTTTTATTTCTGAAATTACATTTATATTTATTAATAATTA